GCCTGTCCAAGTAGTTACTGCACTTGCCTCAGCACCTCTTGACTGAGCATGGGCCTGCCTCCCTTCTCACTGCAACCATTCAAGCTCCAGTCAGCGTTAGTTAGCCTTGATCAAGCTAGCCTTTCAGCTTTGAACAACCCCCTCCCTCAGTACGTTCCTACAATGTGATCTGATGGCGTCACTCATACTGGTACCACTTAGCTTCAGGCTCCTTGGCTGTGCCCCACTTCCAGGATGAAGTGGTCACAGCTTCCATGGGGCCTCCAGCCTCATCTCTCTCCTACCTATGCCCACACTGTGATCTATCCGTAAGTTTGGGAGACCTTAGGTATAGCGGGTACTTTTTCCTGTGTCTGATACTTTGCTTTCTTCCTCACCCCGATCTGTTTTTCTGACACAGGGTCTCACCACATAGCACCACATAGGCTGGCCTCATGCTCTCCACCCTTCTGCCTTGGCCCCCCAAGTGCTAGTATCATAGGCCAATCCACTATTTCTAACTGTGTGTGTGTGTGTGTGTGTGTGTGTGTGTGTGTGTGTGTGTGTTGCTATAAATTGAACACACAGGACACGGGAGCTCTACCACTGCATTACATCCCCAGTCCTTTGATTAACTGTCATCAATCCTTAACTAAATTTCTTTGTGTCTTAATCCATTTTCTGTTGCTTAATATAGCATACCCCAGACTGAGTAAGTTGAGGTTTATTTTGGCTCCCAGTTCAAGAAGTCTAAAAGCACAGCACTACAACTGCTTATCTTTTAGAGAGAACCACACATTGGCCTGTGAATGATGGAACACCAGAAGAAAATGGGCCTGGGTAGAGGAGTGGGAAGGCACCATAACTTCTCAGTACTGCCACACAACATGTTTTATTTGTTCACCAGCACATTTTCAACAGCTCTCTTAGCATCTGTCCTATCAATCCTAAAAATGTTGAAGGCTACACTATTCTTAAAGATATTCTGTACCAATGCTGCACCTCCAGGAGTCAACCTCACACCCTCTTGCTGCAGACATGCCAGGATTAAGAGTGGCAAAACAAAAGAAGCCTCAGCCTCCACAGCAGCAGGGACACACCTCACCCTGCTAAGCACATAGGCCAGGAAGCAGCAGAGCAGGTATCTTTGGGGGAAAAGTATGCTAAAATGAAGTGGGAATTTAAATGTACCAAGAGTATTATCAGCTCAAGGTAAATTGGTCCAGCATCTTAAGCACACATTTTAAAATCTTTTTCTGCACAACTATCTACCTTGAAAATAAAATGTTACACTAGGTGAACTAGAGAGTTAGCTGACAGGTAGAAGGCTTGCTTCACACATGATGGACAAAGGTTTGATTCCCTAGAACCCCCCCCCAAAAAAAAACAACAAAATCCCACCATATGAGAGAGAGAACACAACTCAATCAGTTACATGCTCAGATATTTATACTGAAGACAGTTATACTGAAGATAGTCAGGACTTTATTTAGATTTTAAAATACCAAAAATTTTATATGCTGAAGAACAACAACAATACCTTATCTGTTACCTTGTCATTTTAGAATGAACTATGAACTAAAGCCGAATAGTTTTAAGCCAGGTGTGTGGAGTATGCCTTCAATCTCTGTTCTAGGGAAGCTGAAGAAAAGGATCCTAGGGTTATATGAGATCCAGTTTCAAACCAGCAAAACCCAAACAAAGCAAACCCCATTCAGTTTACTGTCAATTCTCTACCTTGGGCACACATACCTCCTTTTACAGTGAGAAGTTTCATATACTTAATAGAACTACATTGTAAAAAAGAAAAGACTTACTGAATACTATTGTGTAAAACAGGTTACAAATGGGTATGTACAATGTATTTCCACTGGTTTAAGAATGAATAGAGAGGGCTGGAGAGATGGCTCAGAGGTCAAGAGCACTTCCAGAGTTCCTGAGTTCACTTCCTAGCAACCACATGGTGGCTCACAACCATCTATAATGAAATCTGTTGCCCTCTTCTGGTGTACAGGTGTACTTGCAAAACACAACATTGTATACATAATAAATAAATAAATCTTAAAAAAAAAAAGAATGAATAGAGAGACTTAGGAAGCAGAGGCAGGTGGATCTCTAAGTTACAGCCCAGGCTGGTTTAGACTGAGGTATAGGACAGCCAGGGGAAAGCTTAAGATGTGTGTAGTGATCTCTCAACCCAGTGTATGCGAGCATTTACCAACAAAACAAATGGTTCATTAAATCCCTTTCATCCAGGAAAAGTTCCCAAAGGGAGCGGCACTTTTTCTTTGAGTTCCCTTCTATAGCCCATGAGGGAAGACAACTAGTTGTGGCACGTGACCTATCTGGGGAAGTATCTCAACCCACAGGGCAGGAAACTGTGACAGAGCTGTCGATAATCATCATCACTGCAAGAAAAACCTCAGCAATCCTCACACCGACACTCAGGGAATGCTTGTTGAAGTAGGCACCATACTGGAAATTCCAGTGCCATGTACACTGAAGGAAACAAGGGATGCTTTTTTTGTTTTCCCCAGATAAATTAATTTGCAGACTTGTAACTCATAAGAATCCAAGGCTCCATGTTCTACAGGAAGCTGGATAGCACAGAAAAGCAAAGCACTCTCATGAGGCAAATCTTACATTGTTGCCACAGCTTCATTGATTCAATATAAGAATGACAACATTTCAATAAATTTTTGCCAAAGTAAATGTCTGACTAGAAAAATGGAATGCTGTTTTTTAGCAGGGCAGAATTTCATACTTGTCTAGTACTTCCAATAAAATGTTATACAGCTTCTATTATTACAATAAAAATATCAAGCATAGACTAAAGAAAATATAAACTATTGTGAAGCATTAAACTGTGGTAGTTTAACTATATAAAATAAGACAGCAAAAGATGAAGACAATAGTTAAGAGGCTGCCATATAGTTAATGTAGAAGTGAAAAGGTTCATAGGTAAAACACCAGAAAGCTCATCTAAGCTGTACTTACAAAACCAAGAATAAAATTAGAAAGTTTAATGGAAAATCAGATGCATAAAGAAGTGTGTTATTTCATAGGAGGAGAAAAAAAAGTAGCTAGGCTGTCAATAAGTTTATCATAGAAAGATAACATAGGCTATTTAGAGAAAGAAAAGTTATGCTCAAATTGGTGAAGTTGAAGAAGCAAAATAGTTTTCAAAACAGTTGAATCTTTTCAAGTCCACTCTTCTTTCCTACTCTGATAGTTTCAATTTAATTTGACTACGAAAACAAAAGTAACAACAGGAAATGGCAGCAGGGTGTCTGATAAGCTCAATTAACAGAAGGATCCAATAAAGGGATGACCTGCCATTATGATCTTAGGGTTACGGATTCAGTTTTCCTCCTGGCAAAATGTAGATTTCCAACACAGATGCAGATTCCACATGCTGCAAAGTCAGGTGTTATCTAGCAATCCCTAACACCCTGCAGACAACAGGTAGTCCGGAGGCCTTCACACTGCACTCCAATGTAATTGCTTCCTTGTGAACAAAAATGAGAAATAAACTCCGTGTCATGGCTCATTCAGAGAGGTATTAAAAGGCAATCACAGCAGTAACAGAAGCCTCGTGCTTCTTTCCCTTCTAGATCAGCACTGACACGACACTGTGCCACATCATCCTAAAGCACCAAGGAGTCGTTCCAATCAAGAGCTCTGTAAGTCCCAACAAACGACCCCTTGCTACTGAAGTGGATCACTAGCTGTGCCTGCTGAGAAGCAGATCTACTCAAGTCTTTCCTGACATATAAATGCACTGCCTTTTTAAGTTAACAGTCAACCAACTACACTTCCTTGACTGAGGCAACGGGAAACGCTTTTACAAATCAAGGAAATTTCACTCAGAAAGTGCTGAAGCCTACTTGTGAGTGTTCAGACTTCTCTACCTATGCTGCAAGACTGTAAAGTTTGCATTTTCTTCTACTTTGAAACATGAACTTAGTAAGTCAGGGGTCAGTCAATAAAGGCATAGCTCTTATTTGCATTAGATTTAAATCTTGTGACTTTTACACATACAAATATCAGTGCGCATGCATGCACACACAGCCCCACCATAGGTACAAGCCTAGCTCTTGAGGTTTCCTATCAGACAATTAGGAGGTTAGCAATTCTGGTTTAGATCCAGAAGGCTCCACAGCCTCATCTGTGAGCCCTTGTCATGATTAAGAGACTACTTGGGAACTGTGGAGCCTTTGCAAATGAGCTTTTAGACACACACCACTAAGAGCAGTCCTTTGAGGAGTACAGCCTGGCCCCACTTTCTCATGTGATAAGACACGAAAAGGGCACACTGCAGGTTCACACCACACTGGCTCCAGCCACCATGCCTTCCCTGCCACTTACCTTCTAAACCAGTGGCTCTGAACCTTCCTAATGCTGTGACCATTTAGTACAAGTGATCCCAACAGTAAAATTTTAATTGCTACTTCGTAACAGTAATTTTGCTACTGTTATAAACCGTAATGTAAATATCTGTGTTTTCTGATGGTCTTTGGCAAGCCCTATGAAAGCAAAGAGGTTATGACTCACAGGTTGAGAACCGCTGCTCTCAACTGTGACAGAATGAATCACTTCTCCCTTTAGTTGTTTCTGTCAGATATTCTGCTATAGCAACATACACACAAAATCATATTTTATATATATATATCAATTTCTTCTAATCAAAATTTGTCACCCACACCTATCTCCCCAAGCAATTCATCAAGCTGCCTGTCTTAATGAAATTTGCCTTCCCCTCTCTCCCTCTCCCCATGTGTATGTGTTCCCCATTCCCTCCCCTTCTTGCCCCCCACCCCAGAGAGTCTTTCTATGAGGATCAGATGAGTACCAAATAATAATGGCCCCTGCTTAGAATCTCACCATCTCTAAAGGGTTTAGTAGCTAAGGGTTTCTCTTACAGTAAGACTTACTCTCCAGGCATTTCATTTTCTTCCTACCAGGTGAGTGGTATTCACAAACGCAAGCATGTAGAAATTACTTTGGGACATAAAACTTACTTGGCCTTCTGAATCCATACACAGTAGTCTGAGATGTAGAGATCATTCAAAATGTATGCTGGGTCATTTTCCCGAAAGATTTTGTGAACATCCAGGAGACACTTTAAGACTGCACTCTTACCTAAAGAAAAATTTGAAAACATTCAGTTTGATTTCTTAGCTAAGAAATTAAGATCTTGAGAGGTAATGCATTTAAAACAGCTCAGAGTTTTAATGGTTTCTTAAGAACATTTTTAATTAATAAACCATCTCTCTAGACCCTTACTTTTTATTTTTGAAACAGTCTTCCTAAGTTACCCAGGCTGTCCTTCCACTTACGATCCACTGCTCCCTGCTGAGCCGCTGGGACCTGCACAATGATCACTCAGCTTCTTTCCTTGCAACCCCCTACTCCTCCACCCCAGCCAAATCTCCATTCTTTTCCCTTGGTAATGCCTCTAATTCCTGCCCTCTCTCCATGGCTGACAGGAGTCCACATCCTCTCACACACCCGTAATTTCATGTACAGAGTCAAGAATTCTTTCCCATCTCTGGTTCTAGACTCTCCAATTGATGGTGTGTTGTCTGCCTTCCTCCCTGTACAAGACTCTTTATAGAGTTCTCTCCAGGCCTTTACTCCACAGGTTCCTTTTCTCTTTTTCACTTGATACAGCCTGTTGTCAAAGTCTAACAAGTCTCACATCTTTTTACTAAACTCTGCAAAGTAAATAGGAAAAACAACAACAACAAAAGGCCAGGTGATCCTCCTATAACTTCCCTTGCTCAATTCACAGGAGAACCCCAGGCTCCAGGATGTAAGATACTGGGCAAGAGAGTAGAGGAACTAGGACCTAAGTTCCAACCTCAATGATGCCACAGACCAACCATTGTGCCACTCTTAGGTCATTTAGTCATATCACATTTTATTAATCAAGAGCTAAGTCCCTGAAAACACAGGTCAGGCCTTTTCAAAAAGTGTTCACTATGCAGCTTCCTCATATGCAGACAGAAAGAACAGGAATGAAAGCTCCATTGCAAGCCTACTAAGTGAGAGAAATGTATAACACTTGGCAAGCTGAGAACTACAAGGTGTAAGTTCATCTAATTAAGTCAAGGGCAGGACTTCGAGTGTATGCAAGTGGCCAGGTTAATTGTCAGGTGATTGGGATGAACAACTCCACTACCTGCCTACTGTAAATTAACAATAGGTAATATGGAAGGCAGAGTTTCAAGAAAAGTGTCACCCCAAAAGATCAAAGGTGAACTGAATCTGGAAGAACTGTTGGAACAGTTCCAACTGCCAAAAGGACAAAGTGTCATACTAGGCACAACTGACTCCTTCTCAATTTCTCTTATTGGAGAAGAGGATGCAGCAGGAAGGCGTTAAGATTTTTGATACTGATTGTGCTAGCTTTTTTTTTAATTGCTGTGATAAAGACCATGAGGGGCAGGGAGTGGGGAGGGTTTCTTTGGCTTACACTTCTACAATATAGACCATCATCAAAGTAAGCCAGGGCAGGGGCTCTAGGCAGGAACCTGGAGGCAGGAACTGAAGCAGAGGCATTTAAGGAACTCTGCTGATTTACTGGCTTGCCAGTCTGCTTTCTTATATTTCTTATATAACCCAGGACTAACTGCCCAGTGATGGCAGCACCCACAGTGGGCTGTGACTTCCCATTCATCATCAATCAAGAATATATTCCCACAGACTTACCTATAGGCCAATCTAAAAGAGACAATTCCTCAACTGCCCTTCCCTTTTCCCAGATTACTCTAGCATGTGTCAAATTGATTTTTTTAAAAAAGCCCTAATCAGCACCCTGGCTGACTAACAGACTGAGTGACTACAAAGAGCTTCAAATAGTAATCACAGGTCTTTGTCAGAAAAAGTATTCACTTGTAACTTAACTCTACTTTTCTACAGTGTGACAGCCCCAGAACATGCCCTCTCAAGGTCTTGTACCTTCCTAGTTTAACCAAATAAACAGAAAATGCAGGACTTAGGGTGGGAGGGAGAGTACTGGCCCATTCACTGAATCAGTAGAGCGAGCCCATTGTGTGCCTAGGACTGGTCTACATGGAGCACAGTTATTCATTCTTTACACCTGTTTTTCAAACTGTCCCCCAGAACATGTAATCTGTTTAGCAAAAGCCTAGACACATTCTATTACAGAGCCCTTAAATGCTGACAGAAGAATGTTAAAAATTTTGATTCATATGTATTTGAGCAATTAAGAAGTGATATTCAAAAAAAAAAAAAAAAAAAGAAGTGATATTCAGATGAGATTTTTAAATAAGCATGCCTTTCACATGTAAGGCAGAAAAGGGTATTATAAGCTCTCTTCAAAAGCTGTGTTTCCACAAGCCTTACCAAAACTATTTTCACGGAACTCTATGTCATAGCATGGTAGAAGATAACCAGATAATATAAAAGCACAGTAAAATCACCCTCCCTCCAACCCTCTATTGTCTTCTGATGCCATGTTTGGTCTCTCACGCTAGCAGCCAGCTTCCCCATGGTGAGCAGAGCATCAAAGCTAGGGCATTTACATGCAGGTGGATAGTTTTTGTTGTTGTTGTTGTTGTTTCAATTTCTCTTTTGTACCAAATGTCCTTCTGTCCTGTCCTAGGCTACTTATTTAGCAGCTACCCACAAACGAAAAGACTAGACCTCTTCTAGCCTGTCACATGACCAGAGACCAGAAGCTTACAGGGACTCCAGTCCCTGCCTCCTGTGGGGCTTTGCCCAGTTGTGGTCTTGTCATACATCCTATGAACATAAAAAAGCTGTTCAGGCCTAAAGCTAAGACAATTATTTTGCCTCAAAGGCACTGCAGGAAAGTGACCATTTTTCAAGCAGTTCAGTGCCCGCTCTGGAGTATAAAAAACAAAGGTACTTTGCACAGTAACCACGGTAACTATTTGCGCTGCAGGAAGGAGCTAGCAGCTGTCCCCAGGACGCCAAATTGCCCCAACTTCAGAAATTCTCTAGGTCTGACTAGCTAGATAAGCTACCCCTATCCACGAAATAATGTTCTCCCTGAATCTAGGATCTCCTACTCACCCATGAAGGCCCTCGAAACTAGTGTCCTGGGATTGTAAACGGCAAGAGCCATGAATGTTTTCCTTCACAGGAATGATTGTCTAATGACAGCAAGCAGAAACAGAATGACAACTTAAAAAAAAATAATTAGCATGTGGCCAGTAAACATGATTTAACATATTCTCTGGCTTTCTTTCCTATTTGCAGGCCAGGTTGGATAATAATCTCTCACTGACAGACCAATTTGTTGCTGAAGGCACTTAAGAAATTGTCCCCAACTCTAGAAAGATCAGAGTGGGAGAAGCTTTTGCTGGCTAAATGCCAGAATAGGAAAAATGATGTAAGCTGCTACCTATACCCAAGAAAATCTCAATGTCTTTACAGCAGTAGCTCTCTGAATACCTAGCTCTCATCTCTGCACATGCAGGGAGAGGTCAACCTCAGTTACTGTTCTCTGGAAGCCATCTTCCTTAGTCTTTGAAACAGTATCTCTCTCTGGACTAGAATGCAATGAGTAGCTAAGGCTGGCCAGGAGTGGAGGGCCAGGAGAGAACTGCTCTGACACTTTCTGTTATTCTCTTGAGACAGGCTCTGTCACTGAACCTGGCAGCTAAACCCCTGCTTTTTACATGTGTGCTGAACATTTAAACACAGGACCTCATATTTGGCTCAGCAAGGGCCTTTCCAACTAAGCCACCTTTTTAATGTTTTAAGTTACATAAGACAAGAAGCCAAAAAAAAAAAAAAAAGGAAAAAAGACTTAAAAGTCTTGATGGAAAGGGTGCTTTGTTGTTATTTATAAATTATCAGAATAAAAGTCAACAGTACTTATTATCTTTAATCATAAGTTAGCAGATACCAAGGTAAATTTCTTAGTGTTTTTGATAAGGCAATATTATCAAACGGGATATCTTAGCAACTTTTTAGCATTAATTTTCATAGCTCATTTGAGACTAAAAACAGAGATGACAGAAACACTGTGTCAAGTCAATCATAACTAAGAGAACCAAAATAGGGTGATTTGCTTTATTATCAAGCCTGTTTAAGATGCAGAATAAAGTCAAATCCCTAACAAAATGCTTTTTAGTCTGGGTAAGTCTTTCACATCCTTAAATTCCACTTAAGGTATTCGTTAAAAAACAAAACAAAACAAAAGGTATCCCAGCAGAGGCTCTTTTACACAGAGAAACCTTGCCTCAAAAATGCCAAAACAGGGGCTAGAGAGATGGCTCAGTGGTTTAAGAGCACTGTCTGCTCTTCCAAAGGTCATGAGTTCAATTCCCAGCAACCACATAGTGGCTCACAACCATCTATAATGTGAACTGACTCCCTCTTCTGGCAGGTGTAAATGCAGATAGAACACTCATATATATAAAATAAATAAATCTAAAAAAATACCGAAACAAACAATAAACAAAACAAAAACCTCAAAACTATCCTTTACTAATACAGTTATACACTGTGTCTATACATTCACAAACAGAATTAACAAGAGGCAAGAGTACACTTTATAAATGTTACTGCCTGATAATCAGCATCTAATTTACCATCCACATATCAATTCAGGCATTCCTTTTTCTGGGAACAGAGTCTTATCTCTCCCCCAGGCCCCTTTCGGGTACCCTCATAATGCCTGGGAAACTCTCTATTATGCAAATTAGAGCCAGCACCCATATCACATCACTAACCCTGAAAGTTACACACTTCCTTTTTTGTTTCACAAGTAGGAAATGAATGATTTAGGGGCTAGAGATATGGCACAGTGGTTAAGAGCACTGGCTGCTCTTCCAGAGGTCCTAAGTTCAATTCCCAGCAGCCATATAGTGGCTCACAACTATCTATAATGGGATCTGATGCCCTCTTCCACCATGTAGGCATACATGCAAATAGAGTGCCATATACATAAATAAATATAATTTAAAAATAAATTATTTGACCTGGGCTCAGCTAGGATTTGAAAATAAGTACATCTGACTCTTAGCCACTAAATATAACATCTGAATTCATCACCTTGAGTGGTCAACTTCTAGACAGCAGAGGATGAGTTTTCATCTTTCATTCTCTGGACAGGGGCAATGGCTAGAAAATTCTATGTTCCT